ATTGACTTCAGACTACCTGAAGCACTGTGAAGATCAAGGTGATAGTGTTTCCAGGGTGCTCAGGTGTGACACTGGTGGAGGATGTAGAAAGGCAGGTTCAAGAACAGGAAATATCTATTTTTGACTGCCAAAAAATGAATAAGGTCGTGGTTTCATTCAGCAACAACAGCTCTTAAGCAGCAAGCGCCTTCCTCTCTCCTCACTGCAGGGAGGAAAACCCACAAGTTCCTTCCCCTGCACGGTCCGCTCTGTTAAGCTAGGGTGCTTGTATGGTCCTTTTCCTAAACAGATAATTTCCCACACACAGGTCATCATGTAGTCAAAACTGTGTCAGCACAACACACCTGCAAAACTTAGCTGCCCAAGAGGGGGCTAAGTAAACGAACAATTACACTGGAAAAAAGAAAAAAGAAAATGGCAAAAACACAACTTCAATTCCTTTCTTACCCTTGGAAAGGGACTCCTCCTCCTCCTCCATCCCATAATGCAATATCATTTGTATTTTATAGACATGCACATATTTTATACTGACTATTAAATGGCCATTACATATGCGTATTTCCTCCACCTATCTCTGCTAAGGCTCTGGGTACGCCCATAACACGCCCCTTAGACCGTTCTCATTTCACTGCTGGCCAGAGGACTCCAAAAAGCAGTAGTGAAAGGAAGCAGCGACCAGCTACTGCTGCGCTGCCAAAAGCATCGGTCTACAGATCCAGTCTAACAAAGAGCTCTTCTGAGCTCTGCAGCAGCTGATCCTTATTTTAGTGTTTTCGACCTGTACTCAGAAGGGTTAGAAACTGTTCTTTTAGAAGTGAGTTGAAATCCGTGGAAGTCTGACTGCTAGCCACCCACCTCACAAATAAAATTTCCTACTAGCTAGTGGCCCAAAAGAAAGCAATATTCCTACTAGGGGACTGGAAACTTGCACTGTAAATCAACAGATTTTAAGAAGAGCTTCAGTGATTAAGTCTGAACTTCATTTCATTCCTGCCTGCTCTTAAAACCAGTTCCTTGATTACTCCATTCCTGCCCTCCTAACAGGAGGGAGGATCAGCTTTGTGGCTCCTCAAGTTTTCCAGCCTTCCCTTCCCAGTCAGGGAAACTGGGGGCTATTCAAGTTTTTGCTTTGCTCCTCCTGGCGCCCCATGGAAGCTGGAATGTAAAGAACAGCGCTAGCACAACGTACTCCAGCTTTACTGCTGCTGCAGGGGCTGGGAGCAGAGGCAACACATAACAGTTACATGCAAACTTTGGGTATTACCTGGGGAGTGCTTAAACTTTGCTCACTTTGTTGCAGTGCTGTAAAGGGTCTTCCTCTTGAGGTATCAAGGCTTCACTTTTGCCTTCAAGACCAAAGAATGACCAACATTGAACACTCAAGAGCCACCCCACCTAAACAAAATGAACTTTAAAAGGACACGATATTTTAAGATAGGTACCGAACATAGCAACAAGCACTATGACAAAGTATTTTACCACATTCTGCACCTACATTTGTTCAACACATTTTTCAAAAGGTAGTCATACCACGTGCAAGCCACATGTTCCCTATTTTTGCTTCAGAGCACACAGTAGCTAACGCTGCCCATCACTTTTCAACCTTTCTGTACAAATAGCAGCTATTGATATCAGTGGTTAATACGCTGAACTGCAAAGTGAGAGCAGATTAATTTCCACACACTACTGAAAGGTGACTTGTAAAGGAAACAACAGCTTGCACATCTCATTTTCCTCCCAACCTCAATACACATCAAGAAGAGCTAAGGTTTTAGCTTCTTCTATAGCACGATGATAAAGATTTAACACTTCAAGAAGTTCACACACCAAATAATTAGATAAATAAAATCAGTTTTATTTTCATTTCCCTTGAAGACTATGAATAGGTACAGAAGTAGTCATACATAACATACCAAAAATGGAAGTAGAAGAAACTGGATTAATGGGAAGTTCAGGGTTTTTTTATTCTGCTACAAAGCTCTTGGTATTTTGAGTAAATGGGTGGTAGAAAAGAGACCCTGAAAAAGAAAAAACCCTGGACACTCAGTTAGCCCATAAATTAATTTCCCAGTATTATTTACTAGCTTGTCTGTAAGGCTAGAGAAATTGATAAACAAATTATTCAGATGGATGACAAATTAGTTGTCATAAGCTTGATAAATTAAACTCCTCTTAAATGCAGTGGACATTTCAACTGATTTAGCTAAAGCAGGGCAAACATCTATAAGGAAAGATGCCTGTAAAAAGAGATATTTCAAGTAATCTTGAGCCCATTCCTAAAATGCACTTAACTAGGGAGCCACAGCAGAGTATCTCACATCATATACACAGTAAAAACAACCTTTCATGCTTATAAGTAAAATAACCTTAAGGTACAAAGACAAACAAACTAAGATCCTGTGCTACAGCTCAAGCTGTGCTGTGGAAGAAAAAAATAAGAGCCTTTCCTCACAAGCCCCTTTGAGTCAATCGTGCAGACCACCTCATGGAGACTCTCAGTGGTCTTGCAAGTTGTATCTTCAAATGACCCATCTGACTGCATCCTCTTCTAGGCCAAAACAGTTGAACCAACCCTCAGCAGCATATGAAGCAACACACAAGAAGCAGAAAACTATAAATCAACCAAAGCAGGTTTATGAGAACTTTCCCAAGCCCATCTTGGGAGGATGGATCAAACCTTTACTGAAAGGCACCAATCATGGTGTGCCCAGAAACTAACAACGAAAAAAAGCCCAGGATAAAAGCGTTAACGGTACAAAGAAGCTATCATAAGAAAGACTATTCCCACTCCCTGCCTCCTTCTATCCAAAAATGAAAGAAAACACAAAGAAGAAAGCAATCATCCAAAATCCTCTAGAACTGTCTCTGCCTTTAAGCTTTCAAACATCTGAAGAGGTGGTGAAGGAGAAGCACCTCAAGCGCTTGCCACTGCGAATAAGACCCGTCACCATGCCAGCTGCTGTATTTCCCTCCTCAGTGAGGCAACTCCCCTGTGTAATTGCTAAAGCCATTATTTAGCAGCACACACAGTACATATCAAAGTAACGTCTTGCCAATCACCTTGTCTAGCCAAAACACCATAACTCACCTATTTCCCCACTTCTGTACAACTTAGGACTCAGGCACTTGTGATCTTCCTGCCACCTTTCAGGTTTTGTGGTCCTGCCTACACACTCTGCAGCTGCTCCCATGGGCACTTCCCCAACAGTCAGTTGCTTCCACAGAGAAACTTTCCTCCTGGTTTTTAACAGGCATATTTGGACAGTGGGAGTCTCTTGAGTCTCAGGGGATGATTCATACATCCCACAAGCAGGAGAGGTCTCCTAAAGCCAAGACCACCCTCCAGGAGACCATGGGACTTACCCACCTTTAATACTGCTGCTTTAATAAACAGCCATAAGCTTAAAGAGTAACTTAATTGACTCTGCTTCAGTTCAGCAGAGACAAACATACTGAAGAAGCAGGTACTGCATCAAGCTGGAATGAAAAGATCCATAGATTTGATTCATGTAGGTGGGAAGAAAAACAATAATACAGCTGGTACAATCTTACAGATGGAAGGTAAGTTCTTTTAGTTTCAGAAGTAGCACTTCTGTATAACATTTTTACACAGTTGAGCTGCAATAGAACTGCCAGGTTAAAACAAGTAATCTCATCCCATCGCAAAGTTTGTCCTTTCTGAAGTTTTGCAACAACATAGTATGTAAGACTAGCTCGGCATAAAGTGGGTGAAGAGACACAAAAACTGAAGAAACCTGGACAGAAAGTTTCAGTCAGGTAAAGGAGCACCAACAGCCACAAATCCCAATAGATCAGTTGTTCATTTCACTGGAAATTTCAATTTGAGGGACAGCTGGGCTGATCTCACAGCTTGCAATGACTAAAACCGAAACACAACCCCCACTGCCAAATAATGATCCAAAGACTTTTAAAAAAAGCAGAGAACACAAAACTTCCAGGGCTTGTTTCTTCCCTAGACTACAAGTAATGGACTTGCATAGCCTAAGGCGGTCTACTCGCAGAGCCATTGTTCCTTCCCCTGCGCCTTCGGCATTTCCAAGGGGCAGTCCCTCCCTTTCGGTACGCCCGCCTAAAGCAATCCTTTGGCGGAACCCGCCTGACCGGCAGCCATGGCAACACGGTGGGATTACCAGATCCAAGCAGTTTAGCAGAAACCATGAATCTCCCCTCAAATTTTATTTACCGACCGCCGCCCTCTCGGCCGGGAGGCTCCCCCCGCGCGGGGCTGTCCCGCCGGCATGAGCCCGCTTTCCCCGCTGCCTTGCCCTGCCCCGCCCCGCGCAGCTCCGGAGCCCCCGGCCGGCGCCGC